ATATTTTCGTAGTTCTAAATATAATTTTTCCCTCTCAATTTTTGTTATTAAATTTGCCTTTCAGTTGGCAATTTGATACGCTTCTCACAAAATAAATACTCATTAGTCGTTTCGCGCTGGTCTCTGATTTAGGTTTAAATGTGAAATCATAAAAATGGTAATAAATGAACACTCTAAAGATTAGGGATTAGCTTCAAATTAAACAAGAAGTGGAAACTTAATCAAAATAAAACAGGGGCAGCCTAGTCACTGCCTCTCCTAACTATAATTTGCCTCATTGAATGAACATAGAATTCGCAATTGAGTTACCACTAGCAAATAGACCTTATTTTTACAACTTTTTTTATATGCTTGTAAAATATTTTTCCCGGGCACTAGGAATTTTTCATGGCTCAAAATAAATTCTTCCCGACCCATTAATGCTACAAACATGAGAAAATCGCTTTTCAAATTGATACGCTTTACATATAACAGTGAAATATCAGGGCAGCACGTCTATGAGCGAATTGTGTGTGTTGAAAGCATGAACGTCTACTTGCTCTAAATACACATTTTTTAAAAGCAGTTGCAAGCGCAATTTCGTATTTTCGTAGTTCTAAATATATTGTTTCCCTATCAATTTTTGTTATTAAATTTGCCTTTCAGTTGGCAATTCGATACGCTTTTCACAAAATAAATACTCATTAGTCGTTTCGCGCTGGTGTCTGATTTAGGTTTAAATGTGAAATCATAAAAATGGTAATAAATGAACACTCTAAAGATTAGGGATTAGCTTCAAATGAAACAAGAAGTGGAAACTTAATCAAAATAAAACAGGGGCAGCCTAGTCACTGCCTCTCCTAACTATAATTTGCCTCATTGAATGAACATAGAATTCGCAATTGAGTTACCACTAGCAAATAGACCTTATTTTTACAACTTTTTTTTATTTGCTTGTAAAATATTTTGCCCGGGCACTAGGAATTTTTCATGGCTCAAAATAAATTCTTCCCGACCCATTAATGCTACAAACATGAGAAAATCGCTTATCAAATTGATACGCTTTACATATAACAGTGAAATATCAGGGCAGCACGTCTATGAGCGAATTGTGTGTGTTGAAAGCATGAACGTCTACTTGCTCTAAATACACATTTTTATAAAAGCAGTTGCAAGCGCAATTTCATATTTTCGTAGTTCTAAATATAATTTTTCCCTCTCAATTTTTGTTATTAAATTTGCCTTTCAGTTGGCAATTTGATACGCTTCTCACAAAATAAATACTCATTAGTCGTTTCGCGCTGGTCTCTGATTTAGGTTTAAATGTGAAATCATAAAAATGGTAATAAATGAACACTCTAAAGATTAGGGATTAGCTTAAATGAAACAAGAAGTGGAAACTTAATCAAAATAAAACAGGGGCAGCCTAGTCACTGCCTCTCCTAACTATAATTTGCCTCATTGAATGAACATAGAATTTGCAATTGAGTTACCACTAGCAAATAGACCTTATTTTTACAACTTTTTTTATTTGCTTGTAAAATATTTTGCCCGGGCACTAGGAATTTTTCATGGCTCAAAATAAATTCTTCCCGACCCATTAATGCTACAAACATGAGAAAATCGCTTATCAAATTGATACGCTTTACATATAACAGTGAAATATCAGGGCAGCACGTCTATGAGCGAATTGTGTGTGTTGAAAGCATGAACGTCTACTTGCTCTAAATACACATTTTTATAAAAGCAGTTGAAAGCGCAATTTCATATTTTCGTAGTTCTAAATATAATTTTTCCCTCTCAATATTTGTTATTAAATTTGCCTTTCAGTTGGCAATTTGATACGCTTCTCACAAAATAAATACTCATTAGTCGTTTCGCGCTGGTCTCTGATTTAGGTTTAAATGTGAAATCATAAAAATGGTAATAAATGAACACTCTAAAGATTAGGGATTAGCTTCAAATGAAACAAGAAGTGGAAACTTAATCAAAATAAAACAGGGGCAGCCTAGTCACTGCCTCTCCTAACTATAATTTGCCTCATTGAATGAACATAGAATTCGCAATTGAGTTACCACTAGCAAATAGACCTTATTTTTACAACTTTTTTTTATTTGCTTGTAAAATATTTTGCCCGGGCACTAGGAATTTTTCATGGCTCAAAATAAATTCTTCCCGACCCATTAATGCTACAAACATGAGAAAATCGCTTATCAAATTGATACGCTTTACATATAACAGTGAAATATCAGGGCAGCACGTCTATGAGCGAATTGTTTGTGTTGAAAGCATGAACGTCTACTTGCTCTAAATACACATTTTTTAAAAGCAGTTGCAAGCGCAATTTCGTATTTTCGTAGTTCTAAATATATTGTTTCCCTATCAATTTTTGTTATTAAATTTGCCTTTCAGTTGGCAATTCGATACGCTTTTCACAAAATAAATACTCATTAGTCGTTTCGCGCTGGTGTCTGATTTAGGTTTAAATGTGAAATCATAAAAATGGTAATAAATGAACACTCTAAAGATTAGGGATTAGCTTCAAATGAAACAAGAAGTGGAAACTTAATCAAAATAAAACAGGGGCAGCCTAGTCACTGCCTCTCCTAACTATAATTTGCCTCATTGAATGAACATAGAATTCGCAATTGAGTTACCACTAGCAAATAGACCTTATTTTTACAACTTTTTTTTATTTGCTTGTAAAATATTTTGCCCGGGCACTAGGAATTTTTCATGGCTCAAAATAAATTCTTCCCGACCCATTAATGCTACAAACATGAGAAAATCGCTTATCAAATTGATACGCTTTACATATAACAGTGAAATATCAGGGCAGCACGTCTATGAGCGAATTGTGTGTGTTGAAAGCATGAACGTCTACTTGCTCTAAATACACATTTTTATAAAAGCAGTTGCAAGCGCAATTTCGTATTTTCGTAGTTCTAAATATATTGTTTCCCTCTCAATTTTTGTTATTAAATTTGCCTTTCAGTTGGCAATTGCTAGTGATGCTATATGTAGTCGTTAGTTAAGATTGGTTCGCTTATGTCTGAATTAAACAATGTTTAAAAATGCTGAACTATACAGTATTATGAAAATTTTCCTGCTTATTATTTTTAAACTATAATTTTTTGGTCTGTTTTTTAAATCTTAAACTACTGAAATTAATAATATATTGTTGTAAATATTTGGTTAAAAATTAGGGGACTTCTAGTTTTTAAAATAATTTAAATTTAACATAAAATCAAATATTTTGTTACGTACAGTAGTAGCACTTGCATTGCTGCTAGATGTAGTTGTCACAGAAAGTAGTGCTGTTTTCTTAATTTATTATTATTAAATCAGCAAAAAAATTGCTGGTTTCTTTGGACGTTTAATCATAATTTGCAAAAAAACATTTATCTTCTGAACGTGATTTAAAAAATTCTTATCTTTAAAAATGGTATTTTTTATTTTAATTTGACACACTCTTGGCAAGGGTAAACAAATTGGATGAAATTTGGCCTATCATTTCGTTTCATGGGCTAGACAATAATTTATAAAATATTCTCACAATGGCTTATTTTACAGGTGTTCAAAGTTGGTGATTTTGAAGAAAGGAATTTCGAAAATTGAAAATATCTCAGTTCCTGTTTGAGATAACGCAAATGTTTCTTTAACAAAATCGTAGGGAATTAGACGTCCTACAACTCTGCCGTGGTAACCAAGGTCATAGGTCAAAGTTTAAGGTCACTTTTTCTTACCTTGGGTTTTTGAGTCAATATCAAAGTACGACCGAAAGTAAAATTATTTTTATTTCAAAATAGCTAAAAGTTGCCTAATTAAGTTATCAGCAACAAATTAAAAAAGGGTGGGACTTCTTTTTTTTTGTTTTCGAGATAATCAGGATTATAAAAAACGTGATTTTCCGAGCCTTTTCTTTAAGCAAAATCAACTTTGAACGGCCATAACTTTTCTGCTGTAAGAGATAGGACAAAATGTGTATAACGACAAAAATTGTTTCCCTTGACTTGTTCTTTCCGATCATGTATCGATCACATATAATGACCAGGTCAAAAAGGTCACAAGTCACCGGGGTCAATGACTTTTTTTGACCTGGTCATTATGTGTGATGCATGATCGGAAAGAACAAGTCAAAGGGAAACAATTTTTATCGTTACACATTTTGTCCTATCTCTTACCCCGCAGCAGAAACGTTATGGCCGTTCAAAGTTGTTTTTGGTTTAAAAATTAAGGCTTAGAAAACCACGTTTTTTACCCTTCAACCCTGATTATCTCAAAAACGAAAAAAAGGTCCCGCCCTTTCTCAATTTGTTGTTGGTAACTAAATTAACTTAATACTTAGTACTTTCCGTCGTACTTTGATATTGACCCAAAAACCCAAGGTCAGGAAAAGTGACCTCGAACTTTGACCTAGGACCTTTTGGTTACCACAGCAGAGTTGTAGGACGTCTAATTCCCTAAAATTTTGATATTGTAAACATTTGCGTTATCTCAAACAGGAACTGAGATATTTTCGATTTTGAACCCAGTTGAACCCGGCCAAAAATAAAAATATAAAATTAATTGGGTGGTGCCTTCTGTACCACCAATAAAGGGCACAGGCCGACAAGACTTTGTCTTGGCCTGACCCTAAAAAAAAATTATTTCTTCAAAATCAGCAACTTTGAACGCCCCTGTAAAATAATGCAATTTTGAGAATTTTTCACAATCCTTTTAAACTATTTGTCTGGACCATGAAACGAAATTATGGTCCAAATTTAATTTAATTTGGTTACCCTTGCTAAGAGTGAGTCAAGCTAAAATAAATAATGCCAAATCAATTTTAATAAATTCAACATAATTATTGAAACTTACATTAGTTGCGCTATCAGTGACACTAATAGCTGCAGTTGTTACGATTGGTGCTGCTGTTGACGTAAAAACGGCAGCATATTTTGATATACTAGCGTTTGAAGTGTTTGCTGAGCTTTGAAGGGAATTGGTAGATAACAATGCCGAAGTTGTCAATACTTCAGGAAGTTGTGTAAAAGAATTGGACGTTATAGTACCCGTAGTCTCATTTTTGATGGTCAAAGTTTCTCCTAAATTGGATGTTGCTGGAGTTAAATCTAATATTGTGGGAGTTGACGATGCTGTAGTTGATGTAGAAGTATCTTCAATTGTCAAAGATGGGGAAACTTTTTCCCTTGTAGTTTTTTCTGTAGCCGGAATTGTCGACATTTTGTTTAATAGCGTGGAATGCACTGTTATTTCTATGCTGCTGGATGTTTTAAAATCCAGCGTACTTTTTCCTGCGGGTGTTTCCAATGATGTATCTTCCGATGGAAATGTTATTGTATTGTCTGTGGATAGTAATGCCACGTTATCTATAATTTCCTTGGTTTCGGACACCAGATTTTGCGAGGTGGTGGTTTGCAACAATTTGTAATAAGTTGTTTCTTCATCCTGAAAATGTTGACTTTTTTTAATTACAGGCTAGATTTTGTTACCAATCTGTTATGAGAATATTAGAAAACAAAATATATTGAACAATTATTAACCAATATTATAAAAAAATTAATTGAGAATACATATTTATAAATTAATATTTTCTAGCAGGTTAAATGAGATCAAATTGATAAATGCGATCGGAATTTATTATAAAAATGCGTCCATTTTCAAGTAATTCTTCAAATCTAAAAATGTGTCTACTGCTATAAACAAAATTAATTTCGTGGGTCTCGTGGCCGTTTTAACAACTTACTGGAGGCGGAGTAGATCTGGTTGAATTAATTGAAAAGCACGATCCCGTAGTGCCGCAGCAATGTGCAATCAATTTTCTCTGTTTCTGGACGGTTATCCAAAAACGGTTCTGCGCTGAATCTTGTTTGATCGCTTCAAAATTTAAACAATTTTTATTTTCCAACATTAATCCACAAATTAACACACACCCAAAGGTCTTATAACATTTTTCCTTACAATAATCTTCACGTTTTTTGCATTTGACGCCTTTATAGATGCCTTAAAATAGTTAAAATCATTAATATTTAAAAAAAAGCGGCTCACGTAAATAAAAAAGGCGAACACCAGCAGGCAGAAGGAAAGTTTAAACTTCATTGTTGGCATTCACGCACTGGATTGTACCTTTATCAGGTACAATAGGTAATTGAGTGATAGGTACTGAATTTTGACAGGTGAATGAGGCGAATTAATCATATTATCACCTTCATTTCCTGCAAGTCCCAAGGTGAATTCTCATATGGCATTATCATTATAATGACAAGAATGAAACGGAAGCTTGTTCATTTAAAGTCATATTAGAGGCCCACATTATCACTGACTAATTTCTAACCAAATTTATCACACTTAAAGTAATTCTCATTTAATTTTGAATCATTATTAACAGAATGTGAAGTATACATACTATAAACTAACTAATTAACTATTAAATCGCTTTAAATTTGCTAATATATTAATCCTATTCTAACGCTGCAAATTCCTAATACGATCATCTTTTAAATTTTTTTTTAGTGTAAAATAAAGTTGAGAACAGTTTTTAAGGGTATGTTCCTTGCTATCAAAACCAAGTCCATGACTATTAATTAATATTATAACTACAAAAGTCCGAAAATTTAATTTTTTCCTTAGTTTTAGCACAATTGTCTCACAATCAGTGCTGGTCACCAGCAGACTTTTTTGCAACTTTTATTACGCATAATTTTCTTTAGAATTATCTTCTGTTATTATTCATCGATAAGTTTTGATTGAAATAAACTGCGATTAATTTAATTATAAAATGACTTGAATTTTCGATCTTAGTGTTTCCTTGAGGTCGTCGTCAATGATCAGAAGAAACTGTAAAATAAGTGGTGTCAGTTAACCCCAGAGACCACTCGAGACAATGATTTACTTACCCAAAAGTAAAAGAAAAGACCAAAGGAGGAGAGTAGGTGCCATAAATCGTGGTAGTCAAAAAAGTCAAGAAGTTTGCAGTGCTTGTTGAAGGTGCGAGACACGGCTGGCGTTTCCTCCCATGCGCTGCTGTTCAGTCCGAAAAAATAAACTGCGGGGACCCAAAAGCAGACGCTGATGACTAATAAAATCACTGGCTTCAAACGGCAGCAGAAAAGGCAATTGCAGCAGCAGCACTGGCGATTGCCTTCGACAGTGCTCTTGACCACTAAATACACAACGGTGCAAACAAAAAGGTTTGCAATCAGGATGGCGAGAAGGTGCGAAGCAAAATCATCAGGCCGCACCACCAGCCCAAACACAAGTAGGATGAAGTTCAGCCCAAATACTAAAAATACAATAAATAAGCTTAAAATAAAAATAATCAAAATACTAGCATATTGAATGAAATTCTGATAGAATTTATGTCTAAATTTACAATTAGATATTTTGAATTTTTTAACTTATTTTCAATTTCTTCAAAATAAAGTAGCAGATGCAGAGAATTCTTACTAATAGTTGTATAGGTGAATCTGTCCTTGTATTTGATGCACCAGTTGTTGGCGCTGATTTCTCGGAACAACGTCTTCGTTGGTTTTCGGAACTTCCAGCAACCACTGTAGTACACGTGGACGCAGCAGAAGATGTTGACGCACAAGTACAAAAGACTGAAGACAATCCACGTTATTAAGTAATTTCCAAGTAACTCTCCGAGCCAACTAATAACATTCAGGATGGCCAGGAAGAAAAAGGCATTTTTGGCATCCATTGCACCGCAAGGGTGGCGTTTTTGATATAATTTAATTCCACACATCACTGCTATTACGTACATGAAGCACGTGTCTGCAAAAGTGTTTTTTTATTAATTAACAACAAGTTTAAATTTAGTTTTTCGCTAGATCTGTTAGATTCCAAAGCAATGAAATTAAAGTTATTAATACCTATTTGGAAGTTGAACCTGTTGGGGCAGACGTGGTAGCAGGAGCTGCAGATGCATTCAGCAAAGAGCGCCCAACCCATGGTGTAGAAAAGGTCAAATTGTTGCGGCACGCCAAGGTAATGATATCTCAAAGGCCCACTGAGAAAGTTGTTGTGTCGTTGTTTTACAATAAATATGAAAATCAGTCCCAGGAATCCGTAGCCAATATTTGAGGCAACGTGGTTGAAGTCCGAGAGAAACATCAGAGGGTGCGAGCAGTAGAAATTGTAATAACACCAATCCTTCAAACATGTATCAGCGTTAATTTCTTTACCACGCTTTAATTATAATATTTTACCATATCGCCGGTTTTGTGAATGTTCAGCTGATAAACAATGACCATATAAATGACGGGTATGCCATTGTAAATGATGATGGCGACCAAAATCCACGAGTAGAAGCTTTTTGGATCGGTCAGTTCTTTTGAGTCGTACCACATCAAGTCGGATAGGTACAATTTTTCCCCGTTTCTTTAAAATACATCTAACTTTATTATGATGGCAAGGAAAATTCAAGCCTACTTAATTTTGTCGCTCAATTTTTGCATCACGCTTTTCTGACCAATTGGAAGCGAATGGTCTAGAATATGTTTCCTATAAATATTAAATTAATTTAAAAAAATACAGAAATGGCTTTGTCCAATAATTCTGTCGTTTGATTGTAATAATTTCTTCTTACCCAGGGGATATTACAGTCTCGTTTTGAATATTTGATGGTCCTGCTGTTGCTGTTGAGTCACCTGCGTCTCTGTAACCAAATAATTATTTTTATTAATTTTGTCAGTTTTGTATTTTATTCACCAAAATGGAATATTCAGCCAAACACATTTAGATGGGTTAAAAAACGCGTTAGACTGCAATGTTGTAAAACACCGAATCACATTGCACATAAATCGCGCCGCGTTTTAACATTGCTATATAAAATTAATATTATTGATCAAACAGAAATTCAGAAATTTAGAGTTTGACAAGACTTTCTTCAACTGTAAAGTCACACGAGGTGATTTATCGGGATATGTTTTGAATTTTTTGACTCGTCAAACCACTTTTTTAAACTATTTGTACGCTGTGCGGTACAATTGCCCATTATGCGAAATATATTCAACCCGCACAAGACAAAAAATTTTAATATTGGGCCGATTTTTTTTCGTTTTCAAACTATGAAATCGAACTGCAATTTTGCATGCATACAAATCTCGCGGGTATAAAGAAATTTTTAAAGCTTAAAAACATATTAATAACAAAATTCAATTTAATCTTTTGCGAGGTTGCGTATTAGTACGCCTTCGGGCAAAATGCGCAACGTATATATAAACACTTCCTGTATACCCATTCAATTCCTCTTCTTTAGGTTGCAAAAGGTCATCAGTATTATTTTCTTCATTGACGTGTAATTCCTTTTCTTTGCTAGAATTTGCAAATATGAAGTGTTTATTTTCAAATTCACCTTTATGTACTTTTAATTAAGATTCATATGCATGCAATACAAAAAAACTCACCAGCAGCGACTGTAGATGGCCCAAGCAATGGTGCCAAGTAAAGCCAGTATCAAAAAGAATCCACAAGTGGCCATCACAATGACAGAAGATCTAACGTGCGAAATGTCTCTGAAGCTCAGCGTCAGATTTTTCACGCGCACAGAATCTAGTATGATGGACCCATTCAAGTCGGGCTTTATTTTAAATTTTAACTTATGAATTTACAATATCAAAAAATATTTAAGGTAACTTTTTTTACCTGTATAAAATCATCCAAGCATTGCTGATCGTCGGAGAAAACGACAAACCCAATATAGAAATAGCCTTTCACAAACATTTTTCGCTGCAAAATTTTATTTTCATGAGAGTAAATTTTATCCAAAAAATTAGCTTATCATACATTGATCATCATTCCTCCATTTCTAGTTATTGTTTGTCTGTAGCTGTCTCTATGTGTTGAGAATTCCACTAGCTGATGAATTGAGCACTGGAAATTCAGATTTTTTTTTATTGTGATTCCGTGAAAAGTGACACAGTCAAAGGCATTTTATATTGTAGAAGAACATACGAAGTATATATTTTAATCGCTTTTATTTCATATTTTTATGTCGAGATAATGAACTCCTTCCTGCTTTTGGATGAAATCAGAATGTAAAATTGCTATATAATAATTTCTTAAAAAATTGTAACAAAAAATAATCTAACTTTTTAAATTTAAATTGCAATTTTTAATTTAATGTTTTTTATCATTAGAGAGACGGATGAAGCTCAAAAGTTTTTAGAAATTACACAAAAAAAAAATTGTAAATTGGTCAATATATTTTATGTGTAATTTGGGATTCATTCAATATCTTAAAGATGTAAGGAAATGTTAAATAAAATTTTATTTACAATTACGTAAGACTGACCGATTTGAAGAGACTCAACGAGGCACAGGTGTCGTTTGGGCTTGTGACTTCCAGCAGGACATTGTCCACACCTTGTGGAAAATCAAATCGGAAGTAGCGAGGTGCCGTGGGGGCCGCGTGCGTTCGAATAGCTGAATTTAGTGGCACCTTGTAAAACGTCTGCTGACCAACATGCACTTCGATTTTGACTCCTTGAACACTCGGCGTTGACACAATCACCACCAAAGAGTCGTTTTCATATGGACAGGTCGAGCGAGACGCAAAGTTGTATAACTGCCCACTGACATTAATTAAAATGCATAAATTTTCTGAGTATATAAAACCAATCAATTTACTTTTCACTTAAATATGGTAATTCCCACGAGACGACGTCCCGCTCTTGCCTAATCACCACAAACACAGGGTCCTCATTATCAGCATCGTCTGATGTGTAGATCTTGTGAGCGTGGACTCGAGCTGGTTGATGAGGACTTAACTTTTTCAAATAAAAATTGAATTTAGACAGTGGTAGACAAAAATTATTTTGATTAATCATAATAATATTAAATCAAAATGTACCTGCTCTTTTGAAAATTCTATTGTAAACGAATTGCTGTAGTCGATTTTTCGGATGTAAACCTCTCCTATTTTTCCTTTGATGGTTTCGCCAAAATTGGATCCCAAAAGGATGCTTAGAAGATACCCATAGTAGTATAATCTCATCTTGCGCTCCTGCAAAATTCAATTAGGAGGTATTTTGTTTTTAAATGTGCTGTTTAAAAATTTTTTTTTTCTTTGAATTTGCTTTGCAAAATATAGAGATTTCATTTTGTACAATATATTGAGAAAAAAAATAATCTCTCAATCATCAATAAAGTATGGCCAGCTAAGTTTCACAATTCACAAAGTGAGGCGTTGTGTAATGAATTATTGGACTAATATTAAATATTAGGCCAATAATTTAAAATTTTTTTTATTCAGAGCGGGAGAACATCAATAAAAAAAATCTTTGTCTATCAGAGATTATAATCTAGATTAATAAGTTTTAATGGAGGTCAAATACATTATATTTATTATGTAGTAAAATATGGTGCTTAGCAAAAGGTTCAATCTTGAATTAGATTTAAACAAAAATTTAGCGTCATTTTAGATTTCAGGTAATGTTTTTTCTGCAGAAATTTCCCGCTTCTCTTATATGTACTTGAATATCGAGGAGGGAATCGAAAAGCAAGCAGAAATTAACTCGGCTCCACGGACCGCGGACCACGTGACTGCATGTGACCTTGACCTTGATGAGCGCCTGCTGCTGTCTATCAGGAGGCGAAAAAACAGAGTGCAAGCCGCGCGCCGCGGCCGGCAGTGGGCAAAATATAAGGAAAAAAATTGCGTTCCGTCTGGACGAATTTTTATTATAATAAAAGTATAAATATTGTTTTCAGGGAATGTATCACATTTTTTTTAAAGAATAAAATTATTAAAGCGAAATCCCTGACTCATAATCAGCTGCATTATATTTTTACTGCAAATTTATGCAAATGGTAGTATATTTTCCACCACACGCATTCTCGTCTTATTTAATAAATTTCATTTTTTGTTTTTTTGCAGTTTAGATGTCATTAAAATTGAGAATTAAAGCGCAAATAATAAGAGGACAGGAAAGCAAAAACCTAATAAAAATAACAATAAAAATTAATATTTTGCAAAAATAAGCAACGTTATGATGATTTATAAAAATTAAAAAAAAAAATTATGAGCCATAAAAAGGTCCGCGCTTAATTAAGGGAGTGCAAGAGACTTGAAATGTTCTTGTGCTTAGGTACTCCCTTAAGCGCGGATCTTTTTATGGTTCATAATTAGAGGGGAGGTGATTTTGTCCTTTTCCAAGTTGAAAACTTTTTAATTTGATATGAAGTTTTTCCCTAAATTTGATGCAGAAAATGAGCTAGTCGCACGTACTCTGAATGGTCCGCCTCTTCAAAGTCCTCTTCAGCGGCGTCTTATACAACACTAAAATAGCATCTCCTGATCTGCGAGCATGCTGCATGGGCGAGGCTTTTTTATGGAACCCCACGCTGATTTTTTACCATTCTTAATGGTCCACTCGCACAAGTTTGCAGCGTGGTCGCTGCTGACACCTACAATTCAGCGAGCGATTTAAAATTCGCATCATTTGCTTGCTTTATTTTCCAACTTAAATTACAAAATATTGATGCCATAATGATATTAATATTTATATTACACAGAAACAAATAAATAAATTAAAATCCAAGTATCCAATTTACATCTGACGGTCTCAGATATATTATATTAATCCTTTTTCGCGCAATAAACATTGTCCATTAATTGTGATTCATATTATTTATAATTTATTTCCTGTAAAATTTACTGTTATTTTATTGTTATTATTTGTTTGAAGAAATTTATTCGCCGTAATACTGTAATTGATTGTTACTTCTCAAAACTTTAAATTTCTCAGAGTTGATTGATGGATTTTGCAATTAATATAAATGAGATAAATATTCAAACATTTTAAATAAACATTCCCTCAGAAAAATAAATTGCCAAATCGCAAAAGTTAAATAAAAAATTATCACATTGGTGTCTTTGATAGAACTGTTATATTTAAGGCTAATTTCAGAAAAATCCCTCATGAGTAATGTTAAGGATAATTCCAGATAGTTCACTCCAGACCAGGCTATATAAAATGCATTTTGATTTCATTGCACCATTTGCACCACGAAATATTGCAATAATAATAATGCTTTTATTAAACGCTTTTGCGTACAATTACAACTATATAAACTACAAAACACCACCTAACGGTGGCCAGTCAAATTACAATCATCTTCTATCCTGCACTTCTTTTCCCGCGCGTCAACCCTTCCCTCTCCGCGGCGAGCGCACGCGCCCATCACAATTTTGTCTTTGTAAACAAAAATAAACACAGAAGAGGTGCCCAGAGGTGCCTGACAGAAAAGGACAACATTTTTTGAGCACTTTTGATAATTTCACCATTAAGTGGAATAATAATTTAAGTAAAATTAATTTGAGGCCTTCATAAACTGTGTTCTATATTTCTATAATTTATTTTTCCACTTCCATTCTTGGATTTTTGAGTAAGGAATAATTTTTCTCACGGAGAGAAATAAAAAAGTATATAAATATTTTAATTTATATGAAATGTAGCTAGTTTTGATTTGATCCGTGCAGACAAAATGGGTCGTTCCTCGAAGGACAAGAGGGACGTTTACTACCGGCTCGCTAAGGAGGAGGGCTGGCGAGCTCGGAGCGCCTTTAAACTTTTGCAGATCGACCAGGAGTTCCGTCTGCTGGACAACGTGACCCGCGCCGTTGACCTGTGCGCCGCACCAGGCAGCTGGAGCCAAGTGCTCTCCAAGAAAATGATGTACGTCATATTGCAAATTTTAACTGGGCTAAAATTGATTTTATAGAAAGGAAAATCCGAATAAAACGGGAGACGAGAAAATTGTGGCCGTCGACCTGCAAGCGATGGCTCCGGTGCCAGGAGTCATCCAGATCCAAGGGGACATCACCAAAATGTCCACGGTCGAGCAGATTTTCAGCCACTTCCAAGGGCTCAAGGCCGACCTGGTTGTCTGTGATGGAGCACCAGACGGTACTTGGATTTTTCTTTAAGATTTGAATTTTGAAATAATTAATAAAAATCATCAAAATAGAAGGAATTTATGCACGTCCTTCTATGTATAAATTATCTCACATCTTGCTGATTTATATTTTTTTTTTAGTTTGAAATTTAAACTTCCAATTAGATCTCAATTTACTGAGGAATTCGGTCACTTTTTAATTTTTGTTTTAAGATTTTTTATAATTTTATTAAAGAAAATTCAACCCAATACTATAGAAGATCTGTTTGCATTCACCTGCATTATTTTAAAATAATTTTGTTGCTTTTTTCGTAGTGACCGGTCTGCATGACATAGATGAGTTCATCCAGTCCCAGCTGCTATTGGCCGCCCTGAACATAACGGTGCAGATTTTGGCTCCAGAGGGAAAATTTGTGGCCAAAATCTTTCGTGGCAAAGACATCAGTTTCCTTTACTCGCAACTGCAGAGTGTCTTTTACAGTGTGATGGTTGCTAAACCCCGCAGTTCCCGAGTCTCAAGCATAGGTTTGATATATATATATATATATATTTTTTGTTTATAATTAACAACTTCTGATTTCAATTTAATGAATTTTCAGAGGCGTTTGTGGTTTGCGAAAAGCTGCGGCCACTAAAGCTGGAGCCTGGGGAGGGAGAAATGATGCAGCTGCCGAAATTCATTGCTTGCGGAGACCTGAGCGCTTTTGACAGTGACACATGCTACCCTCTAGATGTAAATATAAATGTGCACAACTGTTGCGACTTTTGCTCAAGTTTTTCGTTTTTTAGCTGGAAGGTCGAGAGTACAAGTACCACGAGCCAGTGCAGTGCCCAATAAAGCCTCCCTACGCACAGTTTTTGGAAAAACACAAAAAGCAGGCCAAGGAGAAAGAATCTGTGGAGAATGCAGGCGCAAGCTCGAGTATTTGAATTTCTTGTTATTTCCCGTTGCTTCTAAATAAAAAAATTCAAATTTCCATGCTGTTCTGATTACTATTTCTTTTATGAGTCAAATAAAAAAAAACCAAGTAAGATTTTGGCAGAAGTATCGTCATTAAGTAGTAGATTATTCAACAGGACTAAAATCATTCGGAAATGCTGAAAATGTTTTCTTAATACTTGTGAGAAACTTATAATATCTAAATTTCTGGGAAAAATTTCCTTAAAGCTTTTGTATTTTTTTTTATCAGTATCATAAAATAAACAAGTAGAAAGCCAGGAAAAAGGCCCAGACATAATTTTGGTCTAAAAAATACTTGCATTATTATGATTATTATTATAAAAAAGAATAAATCCACATAATTGTATAAATGTACCATTACATTTTATTGAATTCAATGACTTCAAACAATCTAATGGATTTCCATAGTTAAATGCAAAAGAAATGTTCAAAGTAGTCTCCTTTGGAAGCAGAAAATTTCCAATTATGAATCATTTTGCAATGCACATGTTACATGTCGTCGTGGAAGCGCAGAAGTTCTCTAAGTTCCGAGCGGCAAGGGCGCAGAAGTTCTGGCAACGAGAAAATCGGCAGCCGGAAATTCTCTAACTTCCAATTTTGCCAAACCGATTTTCTTCATGATTTGTTAACTATGTCACGTGACTCGTGTCTGGTGAAAATTTCATCCACTTGTGAGGCCTGGAAGCCCTCTTTTAGCAATAAGTGGAAATAAATAGACCAGAAGTTGGCAGCAAGCGGGGCGCGGATGGCTAATTTCACTCGAGTGGACTTGCCAAAGAGTTCTTGTGTTCGCGTCGCGCGCGTACGGCGCGGAGGATAAAAATTATGTATATTAGATCGTGGAAATTTTTCGAAATGAACAGGGGAAGTACATTTTGACATAAATCTATGATTTTTTAAGACTTTTTACTGGAGATATTGCGTTTATCAGCAACTTAAAAAGGAAAGGTTTTTACGATACACGAAAGCTGCATTGTGCATTACTTTGGCTTACTGATGCACGCAGTCTGATGAAAAAATGATTATTTGTTAAAGGAAAAAATCGAGATAAATCATTTTTTAATAGAAAAAGCTTTGTTTATAGACCTCATTATTAGGTAGCAGTTGACTTTGGCCTGCCTGGAAAATTTGTTCTCAGCGGAGCGGGCCGCGGAGCGCGGCGGCTTACAATTAAGTCACGCCTGGCAGTCAATTTGTTTTTATATTTTCAAGATTTTTAAATTTTGAAAAGGCAAAAAGGAAAAAATTAAGCTAAATTTGGTCACACTAAGTTAAATCACTTTTTTAAGTATACAGACGTCAACCGATTATGAAACTAAAATTTTCACATTTTTCCAAGTTTAGTGCTGTTTACAATGAACTGCCCTCCAAACAGAACGTAAAAAATTAAATACGCAAAATTTTTGTATGACAAATGGAATTATTTAAAAATTTTGAAAGTATTCTTCATGCATTTCTTAAAAAAAAATAATAATAATGAAGAAATTAGCACTCGATGAGATGATTATGGAATTGAAGAAAACGGACTTCGTCTCCTCGTCAAAAAAAAATAGTTCGTCGTAACAAAATGGCTCTATCAGTTTCGATTACGTATGCGACCCTATTTCGTGAGCAAACGCACTGGTAGAGTTATTTTGTTTCCGAATAGAAAGCAATTCTTTCAATGAGGACAAAGCCCGTTTTCTTCATTTCCATAAATTTTGAAGATATAATTTGCACATAAATTTCGCAGTGACTGGCGTAGGCCAAAAATATTCAGGCGAGGTCAGCAAGATTAATTGAGGTTAATTTAGAGTATTAATTAATTACATGAGTGCGCGTGTTCTTTGATAATGTATTATTTTTGTATTATCATTGAAAATTTTTTGCAACCATAAATATTTTTGTTAAGTGCATTTTATTCTATGGAAAAATCAATTTAAATTAACGGAAATATTGCAGAAAACGGGAGAGTAATCTTAACGTTTAAAAATAAATAATATAAAATACATATATAACTTAATCAAAATTTTTAAAAATAAAATATAATTTAAGACAAAATAAGTAAATTATTCATAAAAATAAATTAAAAAATAATCTATTTAAAAAAATTTAAAATTTTATTTTATATAATTATAAAAGAATTTCAAATTTATAATTTATTTACTCATTGATACCAAATATTTAGCTCTTTACTTTTTCTGGTTTTAGTAATCAATTCGGAGCAATGTTGTGAGACTGTTCTATTGACCTTTCCCATAGTGTGGGACGTTTTAGCTCTGCTTGCTATGATTATAATATATAATTATACTTTTTCGGTTCACACTCGGCTCTTTTTATTTTCTAATTTTTTTTTTTTTTAAATGCCTTTATAATCCAATTGAAACAAAAATAAACACATTCTATGTTCTTTATGAGGAATCGACACATCGACAGTCTCAATTCAAATGCACATTAAAGCAATTCCGCAAGACCTAATCGTATGTTTCAATATACTTTGATTATTTAAATTATATCAGCTCAATATAGTGAAAATCGGTTATTAAAAATTCAAAAAAACATTTCGCAATAAAATTATTACGGTGGAAAGCATTATTAGGGCACATATTAAAAGCGATTTAAATATAAAATAAATACCCTCTGCTTTATGAGTTAAACATCTTCTCGACCAGATTTTAATGCTCTTTTTTGTTGTAAAACTTTCAAATTCGGTTTTGTTCTACATTTTTAATAAATCGGTTTTTTGTTTCTCCTGAAAAAAACTGATTGTGGAACTTAAAGAACTTCTGCGCTCTGCCAGGCAAAAGATACAGAACTTCTGTGCCCTTGCCGCTCGGAACTTAGAGAACTTCTGCGCTTCCACGACGATGTTGAAGTCGGGTGTCTGCTTGTCCCTGCCCTCGGTCCACGCCTTAGCAATCATGCGCTTCATTTCATCATCGCCGTCCTGGTACATTTGCTTCATGAGGTTCATCAGGCCGCCCGAAGGATCGGTCATGTCCGCGTCGGCCGCCTCCGGTTTCTTGGGAGCTTTGGCGTCCGCCGCCCTCTTCTCTGTCTCGGTGATGTGCGACCACTTCTGGCCAGGATTGATTTTCTTCATGCTCACCACCACCATGTCCTTCTTGGTCCTGCAGGTGCACTCTCCGATGGGCTTCAGCAGGTTGACAATCTTCAGCATGTAGTCCTTGTTCTCCAAGCCAATCACTCGAAGCTCCATTGACCTTGAAGAAAATTATTATACAAGACAACAAATTTTAATTACTTAAATCTCACCTTTCATCATTTGTGACTGAAATGTTCTCCTCAGGCAAAGCTTCCACTCCATTCAGAGAGACAAAGATTTTAACCAAATTGTCACTTTGGTCCCAAGCTGGAATTAAAGCAAATTAATTGTAATTATCAAAATTTATTTTGAAATTTTAAACCATAATTTTGGAGTTTGACCTCGTAGTTCTTGGTAGGGGGTTTGCTTACAGCAGTTTTGGCCGGAGCCTTCTGGTCAGATTCTGCCTGGCTGTCGGCGAATTTCTGCAATTCTGCCTCCACCTTGCGTATTTCAAAGTTCAGAGCGTTTTGCACTCGGGGTCTTGTTGCCTGGTTGAGAAGCTGTTTCAACTCAAGGAGATCACTCTGAATCTGAAAATAATTAATATTTTAGTTCTATATACTACAATAAAACTGTAAATTTTTAAATATATATGCAAAGTTTCATAACACTTTCTCAACAAATTAAGTCAAACTATATTATGATTACATATTTTTGTCATAAGAACTTACCTCGGTCACAGACATGTTGAGTGCTATAAATTTAATGAAAAGCAAATTCGCAGGCCCTTATATATATGTAAACTTCAATGGGGATCGCTCGAAATGTGAACAAACCAAGTAAAATTAATGCGAATCCGACGCAAATATCCGCTTCAAAACGTGACGAGAGTTTCTTGCTTTCTTATTTACTCGTGTAGTTCGCCCGGTGCCCGTTTTTCGACGATGGCGTAAATGGCGTTCGTTTTTAAATTGTCCGCAGTCCCTCCAGTCAGTTTTTTTTGTTCTTGACAAAATACATTTTATCTATTTTTAATTTTATTTTTTGTTGATGTTATGCGACTCAAATTTCTCCAAAAGATAGATGATACTTCTAAGCATAAAAAATAAAAATATATTATTATTTTTTTTATTACTGCTTTATTCATTTTATAAAATATTCTTCATCCAACACCCCTTGAATTAATAGACAAATTTAATCAAACATGATGAAACATATCAATATATGCGTTTAACTGCTTTAGCGAACCAGCAATTACAAACAATTATTATTATCATTATTTTGTATTGCAGAACATTATAATTATTAGTGTCCTCATGAAAGTTAAAATAATGTTTGAGGTATGCAGATGCAGATCATTTATCAATGAGATTATATACTTTTCAGATACATGTATTTGATTATAGCCACATTATGTGAACACAGGCGAACACGTACAATATAATAAAATAGGTCATATTTCTAGGAAATCTGAGTGAGAGGTGCCCAAAAGCCAACATGCCTATAAACAATAAGGCGATTTGACCATGGCCTGCATTCAATACATCCATGGAGTTAATACTCATTATTTGCATACAATACAGCTTGGTGAAGTGCCAGCAAATCATGAGTGGCATATTATATATAATGTAATTTTTGATTACAACAATATTATATATATTTGAAGTTTGTGGATTGAATTTTTGGTAAAATGAATTTAAAAATTTTCGTCAGAGTTTAAAATGCTCATTAATTAATTTAAAATTGCCTTGTTCTTGGAAAACTTATAAATTTAATCATGCTAGATTAGATCAGTTTGAATAAAGGCAAGAGATTACATAAGTTTCCTCTTCTGCAAATCAAAATCAGGTGATGACCTATTTGGTCTTTGGACGAGTTAGCGTGTAGGTGCTGATCTGGGGCTTGGCGATGGGATGCTGCCACTTCTTGCCACCACGGTTGAGGTCTTGTTACATTCCATGAACTGACTAGCAAAGGTGAAGGAATCTCATTTCATTTAAGAGGATAGGGCGAACAAGCAACAAACGTACCTTGCGAATGTCCACGCCAGTCATGCAGTTGACCAACTCGGGTATGCGAGTCACAATGTCCAACACTTCACCCGTCAGCTTTGAGGCTCCGATCTGGCCGTTGCCAGAGGACACCATGGTCACCTTCTTGGCCTGGGACAGCGGAGCAGCCACCTCGGCCACAATCTACAAAAAATATTTGAATTGAGTTAAGTCTATATAAGTTGAAAAAATTAAGTGCATTTTTACCATTTTTATAACATTTCCTTTCCATAACACAAAATTTGCAGATAAGGCAGATAATTTGGAGTTTTACAAAACTCCCGACACTTTTCATTTGTAACAAATTTAAATTTAATTACATTATCATATGAAATTGCTTAACTGGAAGAGAATCTTTAATTTAAAAATTTAAATTGCAGATTTTTTTATAATTTGTATGAATTGAAAATTAACACCAAACATTATCAGGAAATTCTTCTACTAAGAACAAATGAAAACAATTTGAAATCAATTTAATTTAATGAAACTAATTAAATTCTGTGTAATTATTTAGTTAATTTACTATTCAAATTTATGTAATGTGTCATTTATACCTTGATTTTGCAATTTGAATTGTTACAAAATGAAAAAAATCCAAATTTTAAAATTTACAAGAAAAAGTAGGTTTAGAAATTTTTAGCTCACCTTTGGCAGGCTGTCGAGGAGCATGTCAATCATGGCCGCCTCCTTGTACTCCTTCCAGGCATCGGCCTTCTTAGCCATCTGTTCAGCCTCAGCTCTAGCCTTGGCTTCAATAGCAAAAGCTTCAGCTTCTCCTCGAACACGGACAGATTCGGCTTCAGCCTCCGCCTCCAGAACGACTCTGTTGCGGTTGGCCTCAGCAAGTTTCTCCAGGCGATACTTCTCCGCCTCGGCCGGTCTGCGAATGGTTGCTTCCAGTTCGCGCTCGCGGCGCATCATCTCCTGGTCTTGGACTGCAATTTCCTGAGTGCGCTCCACAACCTGAAGAAAATATTTCAACATGTGAATAGAATCAATTTTCCTAAAATAGGAAAATTCCTAAAATAGGAAAATTAAGTTGGATTGGTTATTTAGTGATATTTTTATTGGAAATTAATATTAAAGTTTAATATTGATATTTTTATTCAATGTCTATTAATTTATTTATCCCATTATTTTAATTTTTTGAACTTTCATTTAACATTAGATCAATTTGTCCCTTAAATCTGTTAATTTTCAATTGAATTTACCTTAATTTGCATTTCTTCTTCTTTGATCATTTGCTTGGTTTTTGCCGCCTGAAGGTCATAGGCGAGTTCCGCCTCGGCCTTTTTGGTATGCACCTCAACATCGTAGGTTGCCTTTTTCAGCTCAAAGTCCCTCTGAGCTTTGGCAATTTCTATGTCGTTGAGGAAGCGAGAGGCCATGCGCTCCTCCTCTGCAATCGCCTCTTTGATCTGTGCATCCTTCCGGGCTTCCGCCTCGCCAATTCTTGCGTCTCGCTTCACCTCGGCAGTTCTGGCCATGCCCAGGCTTGTCAGGTATCCCTAGAGATGGATTTCTTAATAAGTTCCTATCTAAATAAATTCTGACAATACCGAGAAACTATAGAATTAACTAAAAAATATTTTAAAATAAATACAAACAAAAAGGGTCCCTTTTGTGAGAAAACAGTAAATGGGTGCGTCCAGGAAAGATTTGAGGGTAAATGTTAAAAATTTTTCTTGAAAACATGCCATTCCAATTTTCAAGTATGTTGTTGGGGTGGTCAAGAGGCCTCGCTCACCAAATTTTCAAGTCAAAATAAGGGGTGCTTTTCCGGGAAATCAGATTTTTCCAAAAACAAAAAATATGGAATATCTTTGCTCCTGTTGAGAAATTATTAATGATCTTTTCACTTCCAGACGTAACTTTTTACGCCCGACAACTTTTCTGTTGACAACTTTTGCGTAGGTCAAAGGTCAAGGTCACTAAATTGCAAATTTCACTTTCTGACGCAATTTTCGCAAAGAAGCACCCCTCAGAAATTTTTTGCAGTATAGGAAAAAATGTAGCCCCAAGTGTGTAGAACAACATACTTGATTTCCAGAATGGCATTATTTTTAGTTTTTTAATTGATTTTAAATGAATATTAAAAAACAGTGAAAAATCGCTTTTCCGCAATAGAAAGTAATTTTAAAACAGCGATAACTCATTTTCTGTTAGAGATACGCAAAAATGTTAAAGAACAAAAAGGATTTGTTTTGACTTTTTGCATCCAGCCATGTACTGTTTATACAGGTCAGGTCACTTGGGGTCATTGACCTCGGTGACCTGTGACCTTTAAGAGCAGTTTACTGAATATTTGGCACATAGTTAGGAAGAACTATTTTATGGAATGGTTTTAATAAGCTCATTTCCCACAAATTATTTTTTGAGGTCACAGGTCACCGAGGTCAATGACCCCAAGTGACCTGACCTGTATAAACAGTACATGGCTGGATGCAAAAAGTCAAAACAAATCCTTTTTGTTCTATAACATTTTTGCGTATCTCTAACAGAAAATGAGTTATCGCTGTTTTAAAATTACTTTCTATTGCGGAAAAGCGATTTTTCACTGTTTTTTAATATTCATTTAAAATTAATTAAAAAGCTAAAAATAATGCCATTCTGGAAATCAAGTATGTTGTTCTACACACTTGGGGCTACATTTTTTCCTATACTGCGAAAAATTTCTGAGGGGTGCTTCTTTGCGAAAATTGCGTCAGAAAGTGAAATTTGCAATTTAGTGACCTTGACCTTTGACCTACGCAAAAGTTGTCAACAGAAAAGTTGTCGGGCGTAAAAAGTTACGTCTGGAAGTGAAAAGATCATTAATAATTTCTCAACAGGAGCAAAAATATTCCATATTTTTTGTTTTTGGAAAAATCTGATTTCCCGGAAAAGCACCCCTTATTTTGACTTGAAAATTTGGTGAGCGAGGCCTCTTGACCACCCCAACAACATACTTGAAAATTGGAATGGCATGTTTTCAAGAAAAATTTTTAACATTTACCCTCAAATCTTTCCTGGACGCACCCAAATTAGTTACAATTATATTTAATTTTTTTTTGAATACTTTTTTTGTATGGAATTAAAACTTTCATTGTACAACTGACTAATTTGACAAACTAAGCGATGTAAGCATGCTCAACTGATTTAAAATGACTAAAACTTCCATTGGGAATTATTTGATTATATAACAGGTGGTTTGAATATGGCAGAACATTACAGAAGCATAATTGAGCATTAAAAAATGATAATAATTTACCTGCTCATCTCGGACGTCTTTGAGTGTGTACGAAACAACAGCAATGCCCATGTTGACCAAATCAGACGAGGCCACCTTGAAGACCTGTTTGCTGAACTTCTTTCGGTCCTTGTAGATTTCCTCCACAGTCATCGACCCCATGATGGCCCTTTGATGGCCCTCAAGAGTCAACAATGCAATCTGCTGGATTTCTGATGTTGGCTTTCCCAAAAACATCTCGCAAGCTGCAGCCAGCATTTCTTCATTCTGGCCCTGGATCTTGACCTTCAAATATATTTTCAATTAATGAATGCTGTGGTCAAAAGGAAAGAAAAATATACATACCTGAGCAATTCCAGTGACTGAAATCGGCACACCTTGGCTTGTGTATACATTGATACTTTCCACTTGTAAGGTCATGGTATTCAACGAAATCCTGTAATTTTTTTAATTAAATGAATAAGTAAATAATGGATGTTTCTGGGAGAAAAATTACCTTCTGATATCTTGGATTCCTGGCCAAGCAAATGCTCGTCCTCCGGGAACCAGTAATGGCCTGCTGTAGCCACATCCTGCACAAGAAAATAATGTTTTTCTTACTTTGATTTTCTGACAAATTTTCATAATTTTTAAAAGCAGCACTGATAACAATTTTTATTTTTGTGGTTTAATGCTGTGATGATTTGAATAAATTGCTGGAAATGTAACTACAATTTAATTATCCGACAATTATCAATCGCCTGATCCCGGCTTTTGATGTTTTAAAATATTTTTCATACCTGAGACGACGAGAGCCTCGTTCGGTCCGCAAGTGACGAATCCCCAAACCATTTTCGACCAAAATTTGACTTGTTTTCTTCAGTTTCGAACTATGCCGAACGATTCATTTAGACAGAGGGGACGGCTAGGAATGCTAAGATGGCTGTCCGAACCTTGAGACCAAGAAGCATAAAATTAAATTTTATTTAAGTACTCTTTCTTTTTTTGGGACTGACTGGACTGGGCGTACGCTAACTAATCCCCCTACCCTCGGATTTATTTGTGTTGTTTTGCTTTTCTTTCTTTTTTTCCTTAATTGCTGTGGCGCTGGCGCATGCAGAGCGGTGGGCGTGAACCTCTTCAAAAGGTGGGCGTTTCCAGTAAACAAGAATGCAAATTTGCAAAACTATGCAAAAATGCCGGGCATGTTTTTGGGGTCGCAATAACTTCTCAATTCTGGATTTGACCAAGATTAATTAGACTTTCAAATTGCAATTATTGCAAGTAGTGCAAAACTTCCCGAAATGGCGTGTAATTACATGGCTACTTTGGTGGAGGAAATCGCCCTTGAAGGCCTCGATGGGATCACTCTGCAAAGTATGTAATTTTTTTTTAAAGTATCCCTAATTCCTAAAAATATATCTTGAATCTTGTGTTGCGTGTTTTTTCAATGACTTTTGTTTCACGATTCATTTGCAATTTCAGGTTTATGGGTTCGGTTGGAGAGTCGCAAGGACAAACCGATGCTCGTAGACGATCCAATGAAAGAGTTCCTTTGGCGACAAATTCGACGTCTTTCGGTCGTCCAATTTTTCCTACTGCCCATACCTCGACCGAACATGCATCTCCCCAAACTAGATCAAGGTCTATGTCAAGATCAAGATGGCAAGGAGGCTGAGGAGATTCTGCAAGTCATCATGCAGCACATGGTTTGTTTAATTAAATTGGCTGTTGTATGTGTATTTGAAAAAAAAATACATATGATTATTTTAATTTTGGCAGAGTGTTCTGTATCCCTTTGCGATGGTGGAGCAGGACGGCGTCAAGGGCTCTTGCAGCACCTTCCACACCAGGGGTGAGCTGGACAGCTTGGAATTGATCAATTTAAGTTTAGAAGAATGCAACGAAAGGTATAAGAATATTTTAATTACTAGAAATTTTTGTAATAAACTGGTAACTATTAATTTCAAAGATTACGAAGTTTGTAATTTGCTAAAAAAACGGATATAGAAGAGTTAAAATAATTATTAAGAGGTTAACTTTTTTGTGCTCTGAAGAATTTCCTTTTCTTCTTCTTAGATTTGGCAACACACTAGTGATTGTTGCAAATCAGAACTTGCGCAATTCGGCGCTGTTTGGCTCCAACCCTGTCTGGCTGGAAATCAGCACCCAGCAATACTGCGTTCTCGAGTGCATCGGTCGTGGTCGCCACTTTGGGATGTATTCATACGGACCTTCCAGTCTCCAGGTTTTAATATTTTTTTTCTATAAGAAAGCATTTTTACATTTTCAAATCGCGTGTTTTATTTTTAGGAGCTTCTCAAGGCGGACCCGCGAAGCATGTTTTACATTCGGAACAAACTGCTCCTCAAAGGGATCGTCACAAAGCAGATGCACATACTGCGCGCCACAAATACCATGTGCCGATCGTACCTGCTGATGCTCTCACGCTTTCACACAATCTACAAGTCCAACATGACGGTTCGACAGGAGAAAATTCTACACACACTTCTGCTGGCACCGAACAGTCAGATGGCCTACACTGACCTCAGGGAGGTTGTTGGCATGGACCCTCTGCCCTTCAAGAAGATGACGCATGTCATGCAGACAAATGGAGTCATTGAATTTAAACCGGTTTGAAATATGTTTATTCCTATAACTCTTGTAATTTAATTTTCAATTTTTATAGAATGTGCCCTACCGTCAAGTTTATCCAAATGCACTGGAAAAGCATTGCGTGACCAAGGCTGGATCTGAAAAACTTTTGAGAATCATCATCCTGAAAAGAGACACCTTGGAAGAGGTAAAACCTGACGGTGAAGACGATTCTGATGACGAGGACAAAGAATTTCCTGGTATTTTCTGAATCAACACAAGATATTTTGACATAAATTCAAATTCAAAATTCCAGGCTTGTTAGATCAGACTAACCAGACTTTGGACCGTACCCTGTTGTACCAGGCCTATCAGGCAACGGAAATTGCAGGCGAAGAGGGCTTGACCCAAAGGCAACTCGGTTTAATGCTTGGCCTGAGCAAGTTGGACAGCCGAGCCGTTTGCAAGCAGCTCACCAAAGAGGGTTTCGTCTCCCTTCAAATGATTGTAAGATTTGATAGGGTATTATTAAAACATATTGACTGGTTATTTACAGGACCAAGGAAAGCAAAGAATCACCAAATACACTGCCATTCGACTGCAACGCAAGGACTACAAACTAGCTCTCGAAAAGGAGAAGTTCATTGCTCTGACGGGCAGTGCGTTGCTTTTAGATAACTTGATGTACAGTGGAAACAGGGCACCACAAAATTTCGTCCTCAAAGATCTAACTGATTCCGCTTTGGACATCAGTGTTGGTGACGACGTCCAGGTTTCAGAGATGGAAATTGATGTCAGAAATCCACTGTAAGCTAATTTATTGAAGATTTAAAAATTATCAATTTTTGTTATTATTATTAATTAAGAGACTTGATTGATACACCTGAAGATGAAAATGCCATCACATACCGAACCCTGAAAAGAGTCAACCTCGTCCTTAGCCTTCTGTTTAAACACAAGGTCATTTCCGACTTTGTCATGCTCCAAAAGGTTTGCTGTATTTAAATTAGAAATATTAAATTAAAAATTATTTGCAGTTGATTTGTGAAGAGGAGACTAGGGAAGGCTATCAGTACAAAATTGACCGCAAGAGTCTTTTTCGTCTCATCGCCAAAATGCGCAAGGCAAAGTGCATTAACTTGTACAAAGCTGTCATCAATTCAGACTCTGCACCAAAATCCCTTACTTTTGTCTGCCATATGGACGTTGACAGCAGTAAATGATTTTAAAAATTTCCTGCTGATTGCCATTGTGATAAATTTCTTTCTAGACAACTCTCTGATCCAAAGCGAGATTGAGCAAGCAAAGTTGCGTTTCAGCGTGAAGGAAAAAGAAAAGGAGTCAAATGAACCAGTGGACAACATGTCCTTCAGCGTTTCACAGCTGCATCAACTTGCAAGGCCTGATGCATTGTCGGAGAATTTGGAGGTTGACACAAATAATACATATGGTCACTGTTCTCGATTTGTGCGGATTCGACTGATGCACCAGTTCATCTTCTACCTTGTCTGGGACTACAGTGGAAGTGTTAATCTTGTAAGAATGATTTGATTGAATTATTTATTACCAGCTAAAACTTTTACAAAACTTAACTTGCAGGATCAAAGCATTGCCAGAACGCAACTTCTCAGGCAAAGAGTTTCCGTTCCTGACGACTGCCCACAGATTTTCCGTTCTTCAAAACTGGACTATCGAACCTTTGTCCCACCACTACCAGTGCATGAAGATTGGTCAAAGGGCTGGGCCTTGCTGGCCGATATTGTCCGCAGAGTGCCACTGGTGTTGTTCACACGATTAGTGCGTCTGCGGTACATTGTTCCTGGTCTCTCGGAATACCTGTCCGACCCGGTGCGACGGAATTACATGCTGGGACAGCTCCCTGGGCAAATGCGAGCCAACATCCTCGGCAACAGCCGAAAGTATGTTTTCTCCATCTTTGAGGCTGTGCAGAAGCTGTGCTATGTTGGCTTGGTTCAGTTTGGACCTCAAAGGCTTAAGGAAAAGGATCAGCTGTTTGTCTATGTCAATCGGAAAGGTGTGATACTCGACACAACTGCAACTCCTCCAAGATATTTCCAGGTTAAAGAAATTTAAACACTTTTGACTGACATTAATTCCAAACTATGTAATAATTAAATACTCGGAAATTAATAACATAATTATTCAATTTTCATTATCTACAGATTGATTCTAACTTGTCATACCCTCGACATTTGCACATCTTAAACTCTTTGGCAGACGTCGAGGCCTACTGGGCTGATCTGCACACTATTTGCATGTCGACCAAACTGGGACAGAAAGCAGATGATGTTGGCCAAGAGATAACTTTAGAAAGCATTGACACAAAACATGTTAATCTGAATATTAAATAATAAATAAATAATAATAAATTGTGTTACTTTGAAGGTTTTGGTTGAGGCTTGTTCGGTTCGACAGGCTAATGAGGCTGAAAAACTTGATGTTGGTTACTTGCCTGGAGACCAGTTGGGTGCTGGAGGGTTGGACTCGGCGCTGTTCAGCCACTTAAGGCGGAATTGGAATGGTAAAAACATTCCGAGGGATCTCCGTCTGATCGTCATGAACCAGCCAAAGCCCAAGCGACTTCCACCCAGACCTAAAAAGGCCGTGCAAAGGGTGGAAGTCCGGCCTAGCACCAGCACAAGGAGGGCAAAGGCGCGCATTACAAAGAGAGTTCTCAAAAAGCGCATCCAGAAGAAGAAGGTTCAGGTCGAAGAGCAAATCAAATTCAGATTGTAATATTTTGTAGTTGAAAAATTTCTTGATTTAACAAATCTCAATTAATTTAGCCGAGTTTCCTGGGGAAGAGACGAAGACCGTCTGCTCTGTCTGTGCAAAGCAGCCAGTATATTTTTGACTATTGAAGATGCCAATAACAAACTGCCTGTCCAGCCAGCCGTGATTGTTAACATTCTGAAAAGACATGCTCATCGAGCGACCTTGAAGAATGGTGCTCAGTGCTTGAGACGGATGAAAAGTTTGTACACTAAAAATGAGTCTTTCCGAGCACGTGTTGCTTTGTACTTAGAAGCAGCACATCAGTGTCCCAACATCAACGCAATTTTCTCAGTAATTGACTTGTCATTTCAAATTTTAAATAATTAATTTTCTGTTCTACCAAATAGAAACTGTTGAAGAGGTTGCGAGCTTTAAAACTACCGGCAGAACAATATGACAAAATGTTGGAGAGCAAATTTGAAGCGTTGGTTCTGATGCTGCAGGAAAAGCAGGAACAACTGGCGATTGTCGACCGCACCTTTGACACTCTTTTGCTGCCAGATTCGCTTGACGAGTTCCATTACCATTACCATGTTATGTCTATCCTTGATCCTGTCGAGGACAGGAAAAAGTACCCCCAACCCTCATATGATGATGACATCAGACACTGCACTCTTCTCTCTCTACTATTTGCAAGTTTCAAAATTTGCAAAAATCAGAGTTTAAAATTAACACTTAACTTTCAGAGTTCAATAGGCTTGTATTTGGAGAGAGAAAAATACTCATCGCAGTTGCTGCACGTCTTCCAGCAGTACACAGACCAGTGTTTGCACAGGGCTGTTGATTGGGCTAGAAAAGTAGGAGTTGTCGTCATCAAGAACAGAAAGGACAAGTCCGCGGCACAGAGGTCGTTGCTCATCCCTCTTGTTGCATCACCCTATCATTTCTCCGTTAGCTTCTATTACTTGTTGCAAAGCAAAGTGCCTTTCGAAGTCTTCCAGGTAGAGTTTAAAAAATTCGTCTACAATATAGAGTAATTTTTAAATCTGAAAATAAATTAATAAAAATCAATAGGAGGCACAATCTCTGCTGAAGCCATTTCAAACTGATCCTACAGTGACCATCAAAATGCCGAAAGTGTCAGGCGGATCTGTCGCTGTACTTATGGAAGGTCTTGCAACAGGGATTTTGTCTGCTGGTGTGGACATTTCCAGTCAAAACCTTCGGGTCGAGTTTGAGCCTGACATTAATCCATCTGAGAGACAGTTGTTGTCAAAAGCATTCAAAGTTATAGCCGAGTGCCAGAAAAAGCTCGACAGCTACCAAGGTGAGATTGGATAAATTAAATATACTAAAATTATTTTTAAATTTACATTTTGCTTCCCAAATTATGCATTGATTTCTAAATGAAAAATTATATTCCTAGAATCAGAGGCTGATGTAGTGATTCCTTCCAAGAGGATGAAAGTGCCCTGCACAGTAATCACTCGGGCCGATTTCTCTGACGAGGAGGACGAAGATGCAGACGAGGCTCTGCAGATACAGGTGGACGAGCGCAACCTGAGCAACAAGGAAAGGGTAGTCAAGGAGAATGTTGAGGCACGACTTGCTTTTTACTCCAAACGGGAGGAGCTTCAAGAAGCACGCAGCGTCAACGAGAAACGCGACAGACGCGCTCGACTGACCATCGAACCTGCGGCCATCGTCTGCACCAAGGTGTGCGAATTGCCCCTCAGGGAGGAGGACAAGCGGCAACTGATTGAGGAACTCACAAAGTTGGATTCCAGATATTTATTATACAAAATAAGATAGATTGATATATTGATTTTTTTTTTGCAGTGGAGCTGTAATTCCTAAACACTGTCCAAGCTTGATGGAAGTTTTGCAATCATACAATGAGTTGCACGCAGCTGAGCCAGACATTTTGAATGCCACCAAAATTATCCAGCTGATCTCCAATGCAAAGGAACTTGGGCTCAGCATCCACCAACTTAAAGTATGCTTATTTTTTTGGTCTTCAATCGATTGCTCATAAAATTTCTTCTGACTGTAAAATTTCAAAATTTCCTTAATTTTTATGATTTTAAAATTATGACTTAATCAAATTTCAAATTAAATCTTATTTTCTTAAAATCCAAAACTTTTATAATTATTGAATTTTAGGAGCAGTTTGACACAGGATCTGGTGTGATTACACTGAGAAATCACCTTACCCTGCTCTCGTCAATCGGAGTAATTCTGCGCACAGGCGTCAACGCTGCCACCTATGTCCACTCGTCATTCTCTTCTCCCTGGTTGCTTGACTCTGAGAAGTTTCCTGGAGGAAAATCCAAGGAGGCTGTTCCTGTCGTTGTTTCTGTGCGTCCGTGGATCCGTGTTGACGGCAGTTTGAACCGCAGGGCCCTCGACAGGTACCTGGGCGCTGTGCTGAACTTCCTTCTCTGCACTCCTGGATGCACACTTGTCGCCATTCAGAACCGATTCCTGCCTGCGATGCAACCCTTCCACGTTCAGGAACTTGTTGAGGTAATTTATTTTCCTCAAAACTTTACCCCGCCAAAAATTAATATTATATTTTGTTGCATTTTCACAGATGTTGTGCACTCTAGGCTGTTTGTCAAGCACAGTAGTCAGGGAAATAGGAACTAATGATATTTTTGCTGATCCTCCTTTAATTGAATTTGGTTTGTGGACTTACTTTGAGATTTTTGAGAAGAATTAAAAATATTTTCAAATTTCTTTAGGTCTTGCAGATTTCACAGAGTTAGAGGATTCAATTGTTTTGGAACCAACTGTTGATGCAATTATCAGACTGTCTCAATTCATTGGAAAGAAAGAGTACGGAAGCAACTTCTTGGAAGAGCTCAAGACTGCCTGGAATCTTGACACCTAAGTGTCTTGTTTCAACTTTTTGTAACACGAATGAGTAATAAAAACCAACGAAAATAAAACAAACTAGCCTTAAAATTAACTTTTATTGATTGTTCTTATGAAGTATGAAATGTTTGACTGTTTTATCCAACTTCAATGGATATTTTCATCATTTTAAAAGGTCTATCTTTTTGCTTCATTCTTCAACTAGTAAAGTAGGTTGGATGTACTGAAGAAATGTCATTTTTATTGAATTATCTATCTCTCTTGACCCATTCTTATCTCCTGCAGTATAAATAAATTTTCTTGCTGCTAGTTATTTCACCTGCAATAAGGGTTCTATCTGAGGAAAAACAATTTGTTTACAATTTAAATTTGATGAGCATCTTTATTGGATTTCGCTTAAACCGTAATCTGCACATAGTGAAAAGGTTTTGAGTCGCAAATCAAAGGACAGCGTGATTTTTAAGTTTAATTACGTAAGCAAAAAATATTTTACTCAAGTATACTCCAGACATTTGGAAGGGTCTGCTTCAATCATCCCAACTCTCGCATCATCAATCGCAGAGGACAATGGCACAACGAACGACGCACTCGTACAACAAACGCGACACTTACAAACAAATGTGGATATTTTAATAATTAAACTGATCATCAATTACATAATTATGTTACTCTCAACTAATTTACTGCTTCGTCTCGTCCAGTATACAGCGAGTGTTTCTTTTCTCTCTCAAATTTTATTCTCGTATCTCGCAAATGTAATTTCCTACGTAATCACAGATTCATATTCTTCGATCAGACGGGCGGTTCGCGCGGCGGCCTGTCCGGCGCCGTCCGGGAGGCAGCCGGCGTCTCCCGAGGCCATCGGTCGGACGGGGCGCGCGCGTGGTCATCGTAGAACTAAAACTCGTCCGGCGCACAGTCGCTAAATAGTGTCATTTTATCACTGGAAAAATGCATCAAGTCCGGGCCGCGCCGAATCTTGACGGACGGGCCGGCCGCTTCACGTGGCCTGCTGCGCCTTGCTCAGCTGCTGCAGCGTCTCCGGAGAGGCGCTCGCCTTGAGCACCGTGTTCTCGTACTCGAGCTGGTTGATTCGGCCAGTCAGTTCGACGATTTTCTCTTTCAGCACCTCCACCTCCTCGCGCACCGCGAACATCAGGTGGCTCTTCACCAGATCCTGCGAAAAAAACACAATAAAAATGGAATTAGAATCTTCTCAATTTTTAGCCAAATCACGAATTAAGGAGGCAATTAAACAGGGATTTGAATCGAATCAAATAGAAATTTTGATCTCTAATTTTTTTTCGCTGCCCGTAAGGTGGAAAAAAAAGCGATATTATTTGTATTTATTTTTCCCATTCTTTCAAATTTTTTATTAATGTTACAGAAAACAACAGTGAAGAAAAAACAATTTACAGCAGTGAGCCTTCAAAAGCAGTTATTTTATTCATTTATTTATATCTTTGTTTTTGCTACATTTCTCATGAAAGAGATGGTTTTTCGTTCAAAAATTTTAATTAGTATCTTTTTAAATTTCATTGAAATATTTCGCAAAAAAGAGCATCCCGAATTATATTTTAAATTATAACTTAATTAATATTTATAAAATCTCTTGAATTACTAATGTTCAATATTCGGGCAAATATATTTAACCCTTTTTTTGAACAAGATTTCAAGCGTTGGAAACGCACTTTTCCTTTTAGCATTATCAACATTTCGCACTTTGCTCGAGCGCTTGGTCGTTTAGCGCGTTCTCCAAGATGGCGCCGGCGAATTCGCATTGTCTGCGCGGCGTGCTCGTCTCTCTGGGCCGGTCGGATCGATGAATCGCGTCTGCCTCAACAAGAACTGCATCGCGCGCCGAGGGCAGACAAATAATGCGGAAGCGGCGACGCAGCGAGAGCGAACCAGGCCAAAAAGGCCGCACGCCACCAATTCCGCGCTTTCGCGAAAACTGGCCCTCGCGCGAGACCAACGCGTAATGGCGACGACCGAATGTTTTTTGATAAAAGGGAAGAAATTTAATTTCAATCAAAATTGAAAAATGCAAAAACTTAAGTTAAATTCTCACGAGCCAACTATTTATTTCATTTTGAAATTTAATTTAACAGATTAATTTATTTGATATAAATTAAAAAAGAAATCATTACAAGAAATAAAAGTCTAGATTTTATACAAGATTTTTGTATCTGTTTTTTTTTCCGCTTATGAGAAATCTTCTCACGTAGAAAGTTACCTGATACGAAATTGCCCCAATCGCCTCAAGATTCGAGCGGTCATTGGCGATCCAAAAATAACTCGATCGGGCCGGTTACCTTTGCTGGACGGGCAGATCCAAGGACAAAACCGAGGAGACCATATTTATTATGTACTGCGCTCCCTTTCTGTCTCTTTTCAGCTCTTTTTGCTCGAAAAAGGGGCACCTTGAACTTTACTCACTCTCCGATTAAGGCGAACAACCGCGGCGCAAATCACGTGTTTGCTTTCTGATTATTCGCGGCAGCCACTTCCGCACACACGAAAGTGCGTCTCCAAGTGACTCATTTTGAATTCGAGAGTTTTTGGTAATTTAAAAAAAGAATATTAAAACAATCATTGAGCGGCAGAAAACGGGCGGACGGGTGTGGAGAACAAGCTGCAGAGATCGATTTTTGGGGCGCCTCCCCTTGGAAGCCTCCAAAGTGGGTCACACACGCGGCCGCCGCACCACCAACATCCACGGAAGTAAAAAAACAAAACAACTTAATGATAAAGATAAGATTTAATAAAAAACCAACTGGAAAATCATTTTTAAAATTCCCTCTTAAATGGATTTTCATTCACAGCAGTTAATTAATTTACGAAATTAAAATTTAATTGAACGACGGTTGGGGTAAAAAAAATCAATTAAGATGTTAATTACACTATTTTTGAAATGTCCCGTTTCAAATTTTCAACCACAATGATCAATGTTTGCGACGATTTTGAATAATGTGGCAGCCGCATTGCAGCGGAAGAATTCGTTCACCCCGGCCGGTGGCGTGTGCGAGCGTTTTAATTCGCTCGGCATGTCGAGTGACCGCAAGTCCGAGACCCTGAGCCACGGTTTCGATTTCGACGATCAAAATCCGACCCACTTTGCCAACGACCTCTCTCACGTTTTTGAAACCGGACACCGTTTGAAAAGGACAGCGTTTTAATCAAACATGATGGGGAGGATTGTTTGAACAATAAAAACAAGGCAAATGCAAAAATCTCACCATGGCCTGCTCGATTTTGTTGTCGATGGCGACTGCACTGGTCCCAGAGGCACTGAAACAACAAGAATGGCACGATTAGACAGTTGATACGCCAACGGGGGTCAATTAGGGGTGCGGCGGATCTGTTTACTCGCAAGTTATGCAACCGCAGCCGTAATATATTACGAACGGGCACAAACACTTCTTCACGGCCTGCCGCGCTTCAATTCGCGACAAAAGACGGGAAAATAATAACAATAAAAAAAAATAAGGGAGTTCTAATTCTGAAACTTGAAAGTCACCGAGGCAAGGAAAGGTCACAAAATTATTACGATTTATTTATGAACAAAACATGATATTCATGAATATTCAAAAACATTGTAATTTTACATGACAAATTATTAGATTTGTTTGTGGTAAAATATTGTTTGAAAATAAATACAAAACTTCATAACTAAAGAGAATTCACAAATTGGGTTTTTTGCAAGGTTGAGGCCATGAAATTAAATGGAAATGAATAAGTATTGAAGATCTAATTTTCATTTGAAATTCAAATTATCATTTTATTACTTAAATAATTAAAAAATTTCAATTTCTTTTTTAATAAGATTTCCTGAAGAATAAAAGAAGCATCATTTAATTATTTTAAATTCAAACAGCAAGGAAAACAAACATTAATTCCTTAATTGTATTCGGTAATAAGAAAAATTTAGCCCTGCCTGATATTATTTATAATTTTGTACAGCCACGAATAAATTACTTCAAGATTTATACGTCAATTCACACGCAAATTTCATCGCCGAGACAGCATAATTGCAATAACCCGAATTGGGCTGTCAAAATTTTTGACACGCGAAATTCTTGCTTGTCTCGTTCGCAGACTCGCCTTGAAATAAAAAATGTAATCCTGTAAAAAAAAACCGAGCCGATTTCTCTGTTCCGAAGTGAAAATTGGCGTGGCCGCGTGGCAGGCCTTCGAGTCCGCGTTCAAGATCGCCCTCGGAAATCGGCTCGTCTGCCTGTTGTTGTTTTTTTTTCGCAAACTCACGGTGTGTTGGGGAAGAAGTGGTCGATGTACTTGACGACGGCCTCCCTGAGGAGGTCCTGCTGCTTGAGGGCCGAGCTCCACTGCATTTTCAGGCTGACCGTCTTCATCGTGCCAAGGCGGGCGAGCGACTGCCGATGTCGAGCGAAACCAACCAACGACTCGCTGCCGCTTTCTCGCAGCGCCAGACCACGTGACCGCCGTTCGACCAATCACGACGCCACGCCCTCGAGTCTGGCCGAAAAATCCAGAGGGGGATTCGATAAGAGCCTTTTACGGAGTTGCGCGACTTTTCCGCTTTTCACCGATTTCAAGGACAGGAAAGTTGCAGTGACTCATTTTGGTTTTGGAGACAATTCGTAAATTGCATCATCTTTTCATTGCTGCGGTCTCTAGACGCGGCGGCGGGCGTCAATTGCATGTACATGGAGGATGACGTGGAGTTCGTTCGCAATAAAACACACGGCCGGTATTTTTGCGTTATCTCACGCGGAGGAAATTTCCGTTTGGGACGAACAAGTGGCAGTGTAAAACTTTCCATCTCATTTAGTTGTAAACTTCACTTAAAAGTTATTGCATAAATTTAATTTTTATAATTGAAAAAAATTTAAAAAATTTTTATAAAGTTTTTAAATTTTAGTGAGAGTTTAGGTAATTTTGATTATTGCATTAAATTTGCGTTGTTTAGTGAATTTCATTTTAAGTTTGAATATTTAATAATTAGTTAAGATTGAATTTTGAGATAAGTAAATAATTAAGAAAAATACATTTTTTTCAGATTAAATTAAAATAAAGATCGAAATTTCATTAGAATCTATGACCCAGAATTTAATCTCTGTCCATTTTATAAGTTCCCTTTGTAAATTTTCTTGTTTTTCTACCAGTGACATTGAAAAGTAATTTCTTTTCACATGTTAAACAATAATCAAAAGAATACTGTTTGTTTATACCAATTTAATTAACCCAGTTAACCGCTTTTAATTAATTTGAAAAGCAGCTGCTTTTGTTTGGTTTAATTATTATAATTAACATTTTACTAAATGCAAACAAGAGAGAAATTTCTCGTGGTTTGAATTAAATCCGAAAACCGGTCTGAACCGTTTGTTTTTCGATGCCGACGCATCTCGGTTCTTCTGAGTCTCGACCCACCCACGAGACTTTGACCGACGACTCGATATGTAGCAAGTGAAATACATAATGATAATTTCTCCGGCAGGGAAACTGCGCGCCGCCGGTAATTAGCGGCGCGACCCAGATCTTTAGACTGTTTCTCCGGCGATTAGCGGCAGCGGACGTGACTGGATTCGTCTGGAGATTTTCGGATTTTGGCGCGACACGCAGATTAGATAAGCCTATTTGTCGACTGATTGATTATTGTTTTGCATGCCATCAATCTTTTAATGCGATTCGCAGTTATGGAGCCGATCATTACGCAAGGCGCACCAAATTGCCGTATGTAATGAGTTGCTCAATAAAAGACATGACAGAACCAGAATTTGCATGGCTTTCGACGCAACGCGACCTTACAATCACACATAAAAAAATCCTTATAACCTATAATGACGTAACGCATTCAATGAACACTTAACTCGATTCAATATTCTTTAATTATTTTTAGCAAATTTTTCTTAAATGCAGATCATCAAGTTAAATGAAATGAAAAAACGTGACAAAGTAATTTCCAACAATTTAATCTCATTAGCGGGTAATTCCATAACATATCAGACTGTTAATGGCACTAGAGGCGGAACATGTAAAATCAATCAAGGAATGAAGCAATACAAATTATTATCATTTTTAATTATCACTTTCTTTTCCATTATGATAATCCTGATCGTCCCTTCATACTATAATAATCGATTTCACGAACAAACAAATTAATTCCCGCCTGGCAACACTTATCAGTTTTTTTTAATGCACATGCAAAAAGGAAGAAAACAACAGGCGTCGAGGAATTTTATTTTTAAGCGGTTTGTAACACTTATAAATAATCATATCGCAACTTAATGCCGCCTATGACAGCTTCGACGAAAAAAAGTGTGTTTGCGAAGTACTCTTGAGATAATGGCAAAACGATCATTAGCCTTTGGACTTTTGTGCAATTAGAAATGGATAACCGGAAAAATATTGTTGAGATTCCCTCGAATATCATGACGCCCTGTCTAAAAATAAAACGCTTATCATTTTAATGACAAAAAACGATTTAATTAAAAATTGCAGAAATTTTTGCTAATATTTTGTTAATTTTTGTAAGCACAAATTTAATGTACCGCATTTTTTTGTTGTTGTTTTTATTGAACATAATTTAAGTTATATTGTGATCATTGGAATAAGTAATTTAGGAATATAAACCTTCAGGCCTAATTATGTATTCGTCCACATTTGCATTATGACTTTTGTTTGATTGAACGCGTCCTCGCAGCTGTTGATTCGCATCTTCCTTAAGCCTTACGCGCGGCCCCCGACCGTCCAATTGACCTTAATTGAGGCCACTTGTGCCCAATCACGCTGCTGCCGACGCAATCTCGTGGCAAAATGCAAAGCAAAGTTTTATCGGAAGATCTGAAATTTGCCTACGATAAGTTTTGGTTTGATGAGGGAAACGCACAGGACGGCCTCGATGGCGTTTGTTTTCAAATATGGAAGCGCGCAGAACAGGCGTGTTTGTTTTGCGCAGCACTGCGTCTTGATTGAGCATTAGAATTTAATTGAGTCAAGAAAGAGCTACAGAGAAAGTGGAAATTGGAAACTTTGATCGAAAAATTAATTCATGTCAAATGTGAATTCCTATTTCCCAGCAATTTTTAAGTCAATGGAAAAGTGGTGGATGCATTTAAAAAAAAATTTATTTGAATTGACTGAAACCAACCCTAATTAAAAACCACCCCTCCCTTACCAAATATGAAAACCAAAAAACTTTCAATCCCTCAGTTTCGCCGCCAAAATTTAAATTCAGGTTGAATTTCGAGCCACTCCCGACTTTTTAAGTCTTTAGGTCTTCCATGGAGGGGCTCCCGGGGGACAACTTACGTCCAGGGGACCCTTTTGAAGGCGCCGAACGATTGGCCGCGGCGCTGAAGCAGGTAGTTTGGCGGCGCCGGTTGCGTCGGCGAGCTGGGGTGCGACTGGGTGGCGCTGCTGTGCTGGTGGTGCAACGACAAGGGGGGCAGGTGGGGCCTGGGGGCGGCCACCAGGGGGCGGCCGACGGGGGTCGAGGGCCGGCCGATGGGGCTGCTGGCGCCGTTGGGAAACATCTCTTGGTTGGTCGGGCTCGGCGCACGCACTGCCGCCGCCGAGTGCAGCCGTGCGCGCGGCCACCGCCGCCAGAGGCGCTGACGTCACCGCCCGACGGCCCTCCAGAGGTCGGGCCCAGGCCAGGTGACATTGGCTCTCGAGGTCGCCCCTCGGTGCAGCACCTTTTCCACTCGGGCGTTGCATCACCAACTCATTGTTTGCAGTCGAGAGAACCGGTTTATCTCTATTTACCGATCGTTCGATTTGCATCTAAAGAAAACCAACCGCATTATACGCAGAATGCTAATTTCACAATTTCAAGATTTGATTTCGATTTCTCGTTGTGCTTCCGCTTTAGATTGATTGGTGATTGTCAAAGATGGAGGTATCGAGGTTTACATTAAGTATTCAAGAACTTTTAATATCTGGAAAAAACTAAAGAAATTTAAATTTTGCGCCAAATTCTGGTAGAATATTTTGTATCTACAAATTACATATTATTATTAAAAAAAAAACAAGTATTATATCTCTATGATTGACGCTAAAAATAATTTATTCTCTTATTGTTAAAGGTAGATAAAAATTGGCGCTGAATTTTAAAAATGAGAAACAAATTATTTTCTTTAGAAATATAAACTAATAGTTTATGCATGATTTCCCAATTTGGTCTTTTGACTTTTGCCATCCGTCAGAAAATAATGTTGATGGTCACGTGCATGTTTAGAATCCATTGCACCATTCGGGGCCAGTGACCGGCCACTTAGATAATATTATAATATTGCTGCATCGGCTAG